CATCTGTATACCCTACTATTTCAAGAGTCCCTCCACTTTGGTATAGCAAACCACGACCTGGAGCACCCTTCAGGTACCTAACAATTCTTAAAACTGCTTCCCAATGAGGAATCCGAGGATGTTGCATAAACTGACTCACCATACTCACAACAAATGATATATCTGGTCGGGTAATAGTCTGATAATTCAACTTTCCCACCAACCTCCTATATCTTCCAGGATCATCAAACTCTTCACTTGCATCAACACTCAACTTGACATTAAGTTCCATAGGATTCTCTGCTGGTTTAACACCTAACAGTCCTGTTTCTTCAAGTAGGTCAAGAACATGTTTTCTTTGACATAAGTTAATTCCATGCCTTGACCTTGCAACTTCTATTCCCAGGAAGTATTTCTTCTTACCCAAATCTTTCGTATTGAAGTGGTCCTGTAGGAATTTCTTCACCCTATCAATCCCATTACTGTCACTCCTAGTTATGACAATATCATCCACATACACCACTAGCAAGATTTTCCCATCTTTTGAGTCATGGCTGAACACAGAATGGTCTACTTGACACTGTTTCATCCCAAATTCTTTCACTACTTCACTGAACCTCCCAAACCATGCGCGTGGAGATTGTTTCAGTCTATAAATTGCCTTTTTGAGTCTACAAACCTTAACATCCTCCCCCCGAGCAACAAACCCTGGCGGTTGCTCCATATACACTTCCTTAATGAGATCACCATGTAGGAAAGCATTTTTGGTGTCCAGTTGCACAAGAGGCCAATCATACATAGCAGCTAATGAAATCAACACTCGAACTGAACCAGTTTTAGCCACAGGAGAAAATGTCTCCATATAGTCCACACCATACAACTAAGAGTAGCCCTTTGCCACTAACCTGGCCTTCAATCGCTCCACACTGCCATGTGGAAGATACTTTACTGTGTAGACCCACTTACACCCAACAACATGCTTACYARGAGGAAGAGYARTRARTTCCCACRTGTGATTGTGTTGTAGAGCAGAGAGTTCCTCTTCCATGGCTTGCCGCCACCTTGGGAAGGTAAGGGCTTCCTGGACAGTCTTGGGAATGGAAACAGATGATAGCAATGATATAAAGTTGCGATGAGAAGTAGAAAGGTGAACAGCTGAAACATAGTGTGAACTAGGATGAGAAGTACAAGTGCGTTTACCTTTCCGCAGGGCAATAGGAAGATCAAGGTCTAAGGGAGAAGAAGCAATGACAAGATCTGTCGACGAGGGCTGAATTGGAGGAGGGGCCGGTGCTCTTCTGTGAGTATACACGTGTTTGATTGGTGGCCTCTCAGTAGTAACTGGCGTGGGAGGTGAATCTGCAACTGGAATGGAAACCACGGGAAGGGGATCCGCAACAGGGACAGGAAGAGGAACTACGGAGGAAGGAGAAGAAACCACAATATCCGAGAAAAAAGGAATTGATTCAAAGAAAGTGACATCGGAGCACACAAATGACTTATGGAAGTTAGGGTTATAGCACTTATACCCAAGGAAGATACACTTAGTAGCTCGTGCATCTAACTTGTCTAAACCAGGCCCCAAGTTTTGGAGAAAACAAACACATCCAAAGAATCTTGGGGTGAGAGGAAACGGAGACAAGGTGGGAAACAACACCGAGAACGGGGATTGACTTCCAAGGATGGACATGGGCATCCAATTGATGAGAAAACAAGATGTGAGGATCGCTCCAAAAATGCTTTGGGACATTCATATTAAGCATCAAAGACCGAGCAGTTTCAAGGAGATGTCGATTTTTCCGTTCAGCTACAYCGTTCTGTTGTGGGGTGTAGGCACAAGAAGTTTGATGAATTATCCCATGGGGTGTACTCTTTGGCATTATCGGAGCGAATAATTTTAATATGAACACCAAATTGGGTACGTATTTCAGCATAAAACTTTTGAAAATTAGAAAACAATTCACTGCGATCTTTCATAAGATAAATSCATGTCATCCTTGAAAATTCATCAACAAAAATTACAAAATACTTATAGCCATTGTATGACATYACTWTGATYGGACCCCAGACATCARAATGAACTAAAGAAAAAGGACTCGAGACACGACTATCAACTCTTGGACTAAAAGAGACTCTATGATGTTTCCCAAGCTAACATGACTCACAATCCAAAGATGAAAGATGACTCAAGGAAGGAACCAACAACTTCAGAGCCTTGAGAGAAGGATGACCAAGTCTGCAGTGCCATTGAAGAGGAGTAAGAGACGACTGAAAAGCTA